GATGAGGAGCAAAGAGTAAACAAACAGACTCAATACTCTACAGTTGTTGAGATTTTAAACTTTCTTTCCATGTGCATGATCTCACGTGTCATTAGTAACATAGGGAAGGATATTTAAAACAACACAAATGTTATGGTGAGTGGCTAATTTAATTACTCGCTTCAGCTCTCCCTCCACCCACCTCCATTCCCCCCTTCTAAAGTACTAGTACCAAATCTACTCAGAAGAATAGTACAATGGATTGAAGGCTGGGAATGTTGAAGAAAGTTGGGTTGCACTATATTGGATCTACCTATCATCTAGATTCTTCTATGCCCCCCATCACTGTGGTATCTGAGCACCTCCCAATTTTAAATGTATTTATCCTCACAACATCCCCTGTGAAGTGGAGCCATGGTGTTATCCCCATTTTACAGATCAGCACTGAGTCCCATACCCTCAAAGGTATTCAGGCGCCTAACTTCCATGGAAATCAGTAGACATCAGATGCCTCAATATCTTTGATGGCCAAAAAGACTAATTGTCTTGTTCAAGGTCACTCAGGAAGCCTGTGGCAGAGTAGAGAACTGAACCGGGGTTTCCTGAGTCCCAAGCTAGTGTCCTAACCCCTGGGAGCACGATGCTGTATCAGATAAACAGCCTGGAAGTGTCCTGAGAAACTTTACACAATCATCAGGAGGTTACAAGCCTAACAGAGAAGGAGCAAAGTAGCCAGGGAGAATGTGTGAGTTGTATTCACAGACTTGCACACAACTATACACAACATGACATGCTCACACACATTATTGCATGGCTGCATATATGATATACTCTCAAACCCCACATTATGTTTGTGGGTGCTATGACACACAGGCACATGCAAACATTATTAATTTATTATTTATTATTATATCTATTAGTGTTACCAAAGGATACCAAATATCAGCTAATGCCATCATCTCCTCACCAAATAGCCCTTCTCTAATCAATCCCATGCTAGCAATTAAATCTACCTGCCTCCTTCACATCCCCCACTGGCTGTTTTCAGGACACAAACTCTTCCTGTTACGAGATGTAATTCCGTCTCCCCTGAAGTCTGGGGGTTTCCAGTGTCTGTAATCAGAGAACCCATGTGCAATCCATTTAATGTCCAGGTGATGGCTGGCAGGCTGAGCCCTATTGGATTCTGTGGTTTGGCTGCAGCCTCTAGATTCCTGTCCTTCCTGTGCTCCAATTGTGAGCAACTTTATGGCCAGACCCATCCCTCTACAAACCTTCCTGGAAAGGGCCAGAAGGTGGAGAGGAGAATGACTGTCTCCAAGCATTAGGACCAGGAAGCAGAGTTTCCTGGAGCAACTCTGGTGATCACGTGAACCCACCATCCAAGCTGTGGAGCTGAACGCACAAAGGATTCAGACAGAGCCTATGAGCAGAGAAAGTCCCAGCCTGGCCTTAGGTTCAGCGGCATGAACTCTGCCACTTATTATGGAAAAGCTATAGACTCCAGTGTTGGCCCTTTAGAAAAGGTCTTGCTAGGATGGTGTAATTTGTGAACAACTCTCAGAGGATATCAGCCCAGCATGGTTTGTCCAGGGCAAAGCAAATTCTCCTGCATGGCTCCTACCAGTTCAGTGAGGAAGTAACTTTCCTCCAAGACCAGCATGGATTATACCAGCTTAGTGTAGTTCCGACCGTCTTGGCCAGGGGCAGGTGACTTCATAGAATCATAGAATATCAGGATTGGAAAGGACCTTAGGAGGTCATCTAGTCCAACCCCCTGCTCAAAGCAGGACCAATCCCCAGACAGATTTTTGCCTCAGATCCCTAAATGGCCCCCCCTCCCAAGGATTGAACTCACAACCCTGGGTTTAGCAGGCCAATGCTCAAACCACTGAGCTATCCCTCCCCCTTCAAATTAAGTCCAGCTCAGTAAAGCTCCTACCAGATTAGATCTGATTTGCACTGGCTCCTGTTAGTCCTAAGAGGCTCCCACTGGTTTGGCTGATGGGCTGAGCTCTGGGAAAGGAACATACATCTCCTCTCCCCTGCAAACTAAAGCAAACCATGAGTGGGAGGTCCAAGGGACATCACCAGTAGGAAAGTTCTCCCAGGTGGCATTCCTCAGGATTACATAGAGTGGGGCAAAAGGGAGAGGATGTTACAGTGTTAAAGCTCTGAAGAAGTTTCCCCTGCCCACAGAGGTATCCATCAAGCCATGAGCTGGTCAAGAATGGTGCTTCGACACCCACAACTGTTTGCTTGTGCCAGAACGTCATGGCATCCACAGATGTGTTGGGAGTGGGGGTGAGTGGGATTGCAGTGGTACATACACCTTGTGTTGGGCAGGACTGGATTTCCCCCAAAGGGAACACAAAAGGGGCACCAACAAAGCCAGTGTAAATATGTGTAAAAATATTTGCAGTAATGCCCCTCCCCCCGCCCCCAACACAAACATCAGCCACCTGGCTTGGGCTACCAGGTGACTGACCTTCCAGGCCCCCTGGACACAGGCTTCCACAGCTTCTCAGCCACTCCCTCCCCTCCCCCCCGAAAATTCGCTGCCCCTTGACTGCACTAGGCCCATCTATCAGTGCCCCTTGGTGCTGGAGACGCTTGCAGAGAGAGAGAGAGCACCTTCCTCACCAAGAGTTTTTCATTGCTTAACGGCTCAATAACACGCTCCCAGAGAGGGACACTCAAGAGTGCCCTGTATCCTGGAGACGAGCCCAGTCCTGCAGCACCTCTTTCAAACTTAGCAGACACTTTCCCTACCCCCTTTATTCCCTTGACAGAACTGGGAACCAAAAGGATTGCTTTGATTAGATCGTCTGACTTGCATCCAGGGCCCCCACCTCACAAACCCTGCCACACTGCCTCCAAGCACAGACCAGGCTCCTCACATTAACTGACTGTGTGGGCTGCTTTGCCTCAGGACCAAGGAGCCTGCTGCATTCTCTTCCAGCTGTGTCGTCGTCAGCGTCATGCTGACTGATTCAAGCAGTGAAGAGAGGGATTGTTTTTCTAACCTGTCCTCCTTTAAGTAAACTTTCCCAAGTATTCCTCTCCACTGTCGTCAGGATCATCTGCTGCTCACAGATTTCAGATCCTGAAAGGAAAACTTCAGACTACAGAAAAGATTTTCAAATCCCTGCATCTAAAAAAGAAAGAGAAAAAAATCAACTCAACACTAGCCTGCAGCATCCCCTGCTATTTCAAGTCCTGGGCTCCACACTCCCTACACAACTCTACAGACATCCCTCACTTGGATTTACAGCCCCCCTGTTATCCCAATCCTGTCCCCCCCCCACAGCTCTGCCCATGCCTCTCACCCCTGACCTGCAGCCCCCCTGCTATCCCAGCCCTGGGCTCCCCACACACAGCTCTGCCAGTGCCCCGACCCCTGATCTGCAGCCCCCCCTGCTATTCCAGCCCTGGGCTCCCTACACGCAGCTCTGCCAGGGCCCCTCACCCCTGACCTGCAGCCCCTCCATGCTGTTCTAATCATAAGCCCAAATTCAGCTCTGCTAATGCACCTCAGTCCTGATTTATGACATCCCCTGCTATTGCAGTCCTGGGTCCCTCAACACAAGCGTTCCAATGCACCTTAGTCCTGACTTGCATCCCCTCCTATTCCATGTTAGGTCTTCCCTAGACATAACTATCAGTTGTGGAACATAGGAATTGCCACACTGGTTCAGACCTGAGGTCCCTCTAGCCCAGTGTCCTATCTCTGACACTAGCCAGCACCAGGAGGAAGATGTAAGAACCCTGCAATTAGGCAGATATGGGATAATGTACCCAACACACTACATCTCATGCTAATCTCTAATAGAGATAGGGTTTAAACCCTAACGCATGAAGTTTAACATCCCTTCCAACATTTTTATTAGCAGTAACTATTATAACTCTAAATATTGGTCACCCATATAAATGTCCAATACCTTTTTGAATCTTGCTAAATTCTCGATCTCAACAAATTCCTGTGCCAATGAGTTTCACAAACTAATCACACATTGTGTGAAAAAGGATTTCCTTTTATCAGCTTTGAATTTGTCACTTTTTAACATCATTGAATGTCCCCTTGTTCTTGTGTTATGAAGCAAGGAGAACAGACGCTTCCAATTTCCCTTCTCTAGACCATTCATCGTCTCCTCGTCACTTTTCAAAGACAAACAATCCCAGTCTTTTCAAGCTCTCGTCAAATGAGAGTTTTTCCATGATCATTTCATGGCCCTTCTCTAATTGTGCAGTATCTTTTTTGAGAGAGATGACCAGAACTTCACACACTATTCCAGAAGAGACTGCACCATTGATTTATATGATGGCATTATATTACTTTCTGTTTTATTCTCCATCCCATTCCTCATGCCTTCAAACATCTTGTTTGCATTTTTGACCATGGCCGCGTCATATTGAGCAAAGGTTTTTCTTGAGATGTCTGCAGTAATGCTCTGGTCCCTTTCATGCATTTAAACAGTTAATTTAGGACTTTGTAAGATGTATAAGTAGTTTAAGTTTATCCCTCCAGCGGGCACCGCTTTACATTCACCAACATTGAACATTATTTGCCCATTCACCTAGCTTGGTTAGATCCCTCTGAGCTTCCTCAAAAGACCTTCCTGGTCCTGACTAACCTAAATTTGGTTAGTTTCAGCATGCTGGTATTAAAAGCTCCTGCACTGCAAGTGAAAAAAAGTGCCATTACATAATGCCAAACACCACCATTTGTTTTGTGTTTGTAAATCATTTTTTGCTGAACTGCATGCTGTTGAATTCACAGCCCTAGAAAATGAAGGCCTTTCTGGACACAAAAGGAACAGCACCGGCTTCCCCAGGGCGTGTCAGAGGCCCCATCTCTAGGTACTCTAGGGAGCTGAAGCTCTGTGACGAGTTCAATCCATGCCTTCTCTGATGAAACTGTCAAGGAGAATGATGACAGCCAATTGCTAGGTTGTTTGGGTGATGCTAGGAATTCAACTAATCCCCCCAAATCATTTCACATATGAGCTGCCAAACAGCCATAGATGGGAACGCTTTATTGTGCAATGGGTTTGTCATGAGGCTGAATATCCACTTAAGAATAAACCACAACTATCAACCTCCTCTCCTCAGTAAAACACCTTCCAGCTGAGACTTTCCATGACATTCCCTCCCCACAGCGTGGTTTCCAATTCCAGAACAGGGTTGTGGGTCCGCTGAGCTCAGGAGCTACTGCGCAGTGGTGCAGGGGCTGAGGTCCCAGCCAGGTGTGGACCGAGTGTGAAGAGCAGAAGGTTAACATGCCCCATTCATCACTGGACAGCACATCTGTAAAAAAGGAAATAAATATGAACTCAAGTAAAAATCTTGTCTGGATATGAGTTGAGTTCTCCCCAATGGCAACCAAAGAATATGATGTGGGGGGGGGGGGTTGCAGCTGAGCTGATTTAGTGCTGACTTGTGCTTGTGATTCTTCAAAAGAGTCTTATTCCCTCTCTACTGCATCTCCTCTTCTCTGTCCCAGAGACACAGAGTTCAAGTACTGCTCGGAATATCATTCTGCTTTTTCTTCCAGTCACAAAGAGATTTAAAGTTTTGTTGTGTTGCCAGACTCATAAAAAGAGGCCGTCACAGTCTGGCCAAATTTAAAAGAACTGTGTGTTTTAGGAAAACCCAATTAAATTCTCTGGTCCTAAGTATCTCGCTTTCATCTCTGCCGAGTATCAGCTTTCTCCTTTCCTACCAGCCTCATCCTCCTTTCTGATTCACTCAGTAAGATTATAGCCCAGAGCTCCCTAGGGTAGAGTACCTGACTTGCCGTGTATACCTGCAGAGCACTATGTACAACAGTGTCTCTATATAAATAATAATGATAGTGTAGTCCTATCTTGATGGCTCATGCACAAGGCAGTATCCTGAAACTCTTGTAAACTTCCCCCCACACACACACACACACATGCACATACACACTTCATCCTACTGTCACCAACGGGGCTTTGGCAGTCATGCCTAGTGGTCATAACAGGGGTAGTCAGAGGCCAGGAACAACGTCAAAGGTCAGAGCTGGAGTCAGGAACCAGGAGTCAGAGCTGGGGTCAGGAGTCCGAGAGCAAGCCAAGAGGCAGGTCTATCACTATGACTGGCAGCAGAGTCCACTTCATTGCACTGACACTTCTTGGAACTGTTTGTGGGCTTACAGAGGGCACCTGAACCAATCAGAGGCCACAAGGGAAGCTGTCAGTCCAGCCTTCCAAGATGGTACTTCTTGTGGTGTTTATTTGCACAGGGTGTATGTGATAACGCATATGCCCTATTGTGGCTGCTGGATAGTGGCATGGAGGCCATGGCCAGCAACGTAGGTTATAGAACCTCACAGCTATTCCCAGGGAGAGGTGAGAGACAGGACAGTGGGAGAGAGGGCTAAGCTGAAATGCAATGCACTCTAATGATCCTGGCCAGTGGAGTGGCCCCTCAAAGGCCATGAGACTGCTCTAAATTGTGTCAGAGGCCAGTGTAGTCCCCAGTATCAGTAGAGAAGTGTCATAAAGCCACCATGATCCCGCCTCCCCATGTGTGCCAAATGCAGCCCAATCCTTTTCTTGTGACTCCCCCGCAGAGAATGAATCCACCTGCCTGGGATACACACCTAAAAGCCTTAAGAAATAAAATGGCATGTAGTGTTTTCACCTGACTGGCAAGGAGGCTCAGAGGTGCCACATTTCACCACAGCTTCCACACCTACCACAGGCCCTTAGGTAATGAAAGGATAAGCCCCCTTCTGGGTATTCTCTCAGGGGATGTTCAATGGAAAATTGGAATGCAAGAGACTGAGAAGCAGAAAGCACATACGATAATCAGGGATGGCGTAAACTGATCTGAGTAGCCTAACAACCTGAATTCCAATCCAACCAACCTGAATCTTTGCCCCAAATGCCAGTCCAACCACCCAACCTTTCCAAGATTAAAAAAAAATGGTTATTTTTTTTCCAGCTTTCACAGTTGTTTGAGATTCCATCTATTCCCAGAAATTTACCAAAACACAGAAGAGCCTTTCTCACAGATCATTCTGAATTGAACAGTACAGGGAATGACCAAAAAGCTGGAAAGAAATCCTGTTCTCTCAGGATCTGCAAATTGATTTCTAGGTACAGATAAACATACTCTGTCCATTCCAGACTTGTCTCGGGACTCAGCTTGGTGCGTGATGGCATCAAGCCCAGGTGGCACCGATAGTGTCACGGTCTTACACTTCTAACCAGCAGGAAAACACAGGAGCAAAAAGGAGCTTCCTCCTGGTAGTTACAACTTCCATGAGGGGATTGATCCGAAGTGTGCACTGCTCTGAGACACAGCGTCGGGCCTTTGATGGCTGAGCTCTCCAGCAGTGAAGGGCTTTGGGACACAGTTGGTATATTTGTTCTATGGTACCAGCATAATGTTTCAATGTGCCTAAAAAGGAGTGAAGAGCATGCAAAGGATTAGTGTGTTTGGTGGGAGAGGGCGCAGGGAAGCCAACTGGGGGCCCAAGGGAGTGGCTGCCCCTCCCCAAACTCCAGCGCCCTTTAGGTATATGTATGGTGTCTTTTCAAGCATATTTTTCAATTGAAAAATGGCCAATGACTCACTGCTCCTCCTGTTTCTCCTTAGTTACAAAACCTGGCTCTGGTACTGGGGCAAGACCTAGGGAAAAGGCAAGACTAGCTGAGAACAGACTCCATTTAAGTTGCATACAGACCTCACACAAAGTACAGAGAATTGGTCAGTAGATTGAAGCCATCTGGCTGGAACAGCCATCGGAGGAAAACCTTGCAGGAGGTTTCTCCACCACACCTCATGATGCTCCAGTATCAGAGCATGATATGGGTTTCCTCCATTCCAAAGAAGTGCAACTAAATGGAGGGAGAATAGGACACTCTCTGTAGTTTGTCTTTCAGATGTCCTCACAATGTATGAGTCCAGCTGGCACTCACTCTTGCAAAGGATTTCAGTCCTGACTCTATGCCTAGTTATGCAGATCCTGCTGCACTTAGAGTCTGGGAGACTGAGTCCTGGCACTGGGCTGCAGATCCTGTGCTGTGCTCAGAGAATGGAGTGTAAACCTTGGCACTAGTGCAATGTGTGGTGTGTTGCTGCTCAGAGGCAGATGGAACTTTTTGCACTCAGAGCCTGGGGCTGTGGATCCTCTCACGCTCAGAGGATGGGAATATGAAGCCTAGAGATCTCCAAATTAAATACTCAATGAAGCAGTTTCTGCAGTGGTAAAGGAGTCCACCAAAAGGAAGGTTAGGGGACCATTGGTAGGGCCCTACCAAATTCACGGTCCATTTTGGTCATAGGATTTTAAAAATCATAAATTTCATGATTTCAGATATTTAAATCTGAAAGTTCAGTGTTTTAACTGTAGAGGTCCTGACCCAAAAGGGTGTTGTGGGGGGGTTACAAGGTTATTGTAGGGGCGTTGTGATATTGCCACCCTTACTTCTGCGTTGATGCTGGCAGCAGTGCTGCCTTCAGAGCTGGACGGACGAAAAGCAGCGACTGCTGGCTGGGAGCCCAGCTCTGAAGGCAGCGCCACTGCCAGCATCAGCGCAGAAGTAAGGGTGGCAATACCGCGACGTCCCTACAATAACCTTGTAATTCCTCCACAACAGCCTTTTGGGTCAGGACCTCTACAGTTACAACACCGTGAAATTTCAGATTTAAATCCTATTAAAATCCTATAACCAAAACACCAGCAGCAGTGCAGAAGTAAGGATGGCACGGTATGGTATTGCCACCCTTACTTCTGCACTACTGCTGGCAGGGCACTGCTGTCAGAGCTGGGTGCCTGGCCAGCGGCTGCCGCTCTCCGACCACTCAACTCTGAAGGCAGTGCAAAAGTAAGGTTTGCAATACCATGACCCCCCTACAACAACCTTGCGACTCCCCCACAACCCCCTTTTGGGTCAGAACACCCAGTTTGAGAAACGCTGGTCTCCCCCATTAAATCTGTATAGTATAGGGTAAAAGTACACAAAAGACCAGATTTAATGGAGGAGACCAGATTTAATGGTCTGTGATGAGTTTTTCATGGCCATGGATTTGGTTGGGCCCTAATCATTGGCTTTGCTCACATTACCCTGAGATATTTTATATTTTAGTCATAACAGGAGAGAAGCAGCAGCAGCAGCATCTACAGTCTATCCACTCCAGCCAATAGCATAAGAGCATTAAGGGAGACTACTGGTGTTAGACCTCCCAGACTCTCCATAGTAAAAGACACCCATTGGACTCTATCCATCCCGAAAAAGGAATTCATTGATGTATGAGTACAGGTGGAGGACTGAGGGATTCCTGCTTATTTCCCGAGCTCATCCCGACTATTCACCCCCATTGCTGAGGTACAGCTGGACATTCGTCACATCCCAGCCTCACTTTTGTTCAGAACTTCCCTGAAATAGTCATCAGCAAGTGCACTTTATCATAGCATTTTTAGGGAGTCACAGACAGGTCATGGTGAAAAAGGCAAGGGACACAAAAATGTCTTAAATCACAAGGTCACATACCACAGGCATCGTTTTATATCCCAAGTAATCTTTATGTTTGTATTTCATTGCAAATGAATGATGCTTATGCTTTGATAACAGTGACCAAAGCTGAACATACTACAGTACAACTGTTGTTCTAGAGCTGGCCTTTATTAACAACTTTCTTCATTGTGTTTGTTAAAATTCCTTCTTCACCTAGGTTGGGGAAGGGAGAAAATTCATCAACTCTGGTGATATTAAAGATCCTGCTGGGAGTTCCTTAGTTGGTTGCCATAGTGTTGTTGCTGAGTTTCTGTTCTCTATGATCCTCCCATGCAGCCAGGGGCTTGTCTACAAAGGGACATCCAGGAAAATTAATATGAATTAACTAAAGATATGAATTTGAAGATTAGCTAAAATGCATTAAACCTGTGTGTGAAAACCATCATTCAGAAATAAAGTGCCCTTAATTCTATTTATCTTCATTCACCTCCAAAGTGAATTAAACTAAACCAAAGTAAAGCCACTTTAATTCTGAATAATAGTGACCACACATTGATTTAATATGGTTTAACTAATCTACTTTAAAAGTTAATTTGGATTAATTTTCCTGAGTGTCCCTTTGTAGACAAGCCATAGATTTTACCTTGGCAGAACAAGATTCTCAATGTAAGTGGTTCAACTGTAACTGTCACATCCACTTGCCCATATGCAAAAGTCCCAAAATGTCAAAAGCCATGATGTATACAGAACAATTTAAAAAAAATCCACCTGAGAAATATTTATCTGAGGCATTTCAGCTGATGACAGCAGTGCCACAGATAGCAAGGTGATGGACAGTAGCAACTGGAATATATAGTAGGGAAAAAACCTATGAGGCTCAAGTCCTATTGCAAAAAGAAGTTGGATTGATTTCCCCTCTGGATTTTACTTGTTTACACTTTGCCTGAAATCTTGGAAGGAAATTTAATTAAATTATTACTTTGTTGTTTTAGTTTGAAAAATAACCATATCCCCTGGGAAAAACAGGAAACTTTGGAAGTATAAACAAGTTGTTTTCAAGTGAGTGGTTCAGTTTCCTATCACGGTGCCGCCTTCTACTCCCTTTCCCCTACTCTCTCCCTCCTTGTCTTTCTCCCTTCCTTCACCTTTTCTTTCCCCCACAACGTCCTTATTTCTGTCTCAGAAACCTTCTCCCCAGCTCCATTTCATGAAAGGCAAGTTACTTGCCAGTTGTGCACAAAGCTGGACATTTAGGGAGGTTGTCAGTTTATGGAGTAGACCAGCCTCACCTACTAAGATGCATCCTGCTAACTGTACCTGAGGTGAGATGAGGTATGAGTGATGAGGTATAGGTGAGATGAGCTTCTCAGTAACCCATGGGTCCTAACAGATCAGGGTTACTGTACAATGCTCAGAAGGGCTTCTGAACTCCGACTCTGGATGGCTGGGCTATTTGGTGAGCTGCACTTCTGATGAACAGTAAATAACTGATAGTTACTAAGGGCCAGAGCCACAAAGATATTTGGGTTTCTAACTTGCATTGATTTCAACGGAAGTTAGGACCCTAAATTCCTTTGTGGATCTGGGTCTGAATGACATTAGCTGATCCCTTTCTATGGATGTCCTAGAGACAGGAAATAAAACAGTGCATAATGTCCATTGCTATTTTTTTACTCTTTCCCAGGACTCCTTGCAGTGGTTGGATTGACACTGATCTGAAGCATGTAAGTGCCTTAAAAATAACTTTAAAAGATAAACACAATGCACTTTCTGTAAATGTAGATACTGATTTCTAATCATAGATAGTAGCTGGTTTGATATTCTCTGTGGCTGCTATTACTTCCTCGGAAACCTATTCACCCTGACCACACTCTCTGCGACGGCTGAACGCCATGAGATACGAACCTCCGAATAATGTAGTGGTACCTATCCCTCCAGCCATACTCATTCAAAGTACAATATAGAACAGGGAAGACACACCAGAAAAGCTACTTTTGTCCCTGGGGAGCTGACATCTGCTAATACTGTCTTGAGGTGGAAAATGTAAGATAAGGTATACAAACCCCATGATGAGGTATTCTAACCCCACACTGGCCAGGAAAGGGTTAACAAGCTGCTATGGGTCAATTAGTCCCACACTGCTATATCTGCAGCATGTCTCAGGCTTGGAGGGAGAGGTTAAAAGGGGAGAGCCCGACTCAGCTGGGTGGGAGAGCAGACTTCACTCTGAGAGAATAAAGTCTAGCTGAGGCCAGAAAATGACTAGAGATTGCTGTCTGCCACAGCCTCCCCGAGGGAAGGTAAGCCTGACATGGGACTAGTTTTTTGATTTCCTATAGTGACTTGCTTGTTTTTCTCAGTGAAACCGTTTCACGTAGTGTCCTGCCTGAAGGGGGTGACAACCAAATAAAAACCTGTTGTCTTGTGTACCTGGCTGTGGACTAACAGTGGTTTGTTGTGAGCCCAGAAGCAATCCTATCACAGTCACTCTTTAGGGACCATGGTATTAGTAGTCATAAGAAACTTGTATTTTGTTAACATATCACTTCAATGGAAACTGAATTTCCTACTTTTAAAACCCGGAAAATCAGCTGTCAAACTTAATCACATTTCTTCTGCCCTTCAGCATCCCACACTGCAGCATCAAATTATTAGTCATGATAACATTCTTGACAGCAGCGACACAAGATGGGTTAGTTAATACTTTTTACTGGACCAACTTTTGTTGGTCCGAGAGACAGAGCTCTTCTTCGGGTTCTGACCTCTCTAATAGCATGGAACCAACACAGCTACAATACTTGTAATTCTTGACAGTAGTATTTTGCAACCAATTTGTTGCTGAGTTCTGAAGGTTTCCTGACTTTTGCAGGAGCTTTCTGGATACAAACTCTGAATACTGACCTGCAGTGACCTCTTATGGAAAATAACAGAAAATGTCCCATAGGGAACAAACCTGCGCTGACTAGGGTTGTGTGTGGGAACTAGATGGTCTTATAAGATTTTCTATCTTAACTTCTATGATTCTTTGATCAGGGTTAGTTGGAAGTGCTTCAACCTTCCTAGGAATCAGGGCCGGCTCCAGGCACCAAGCTGGTGCTTGGGGCGGCACCTGGAGGGGGGCGGCGGCGCGGCGCTCTGGCCGCCGGGGGGGGGGGAGAGCCGAGCCCCAGCCGGGGCTCGCTGCCCTGCCCCCGGCGCTCTGGCAGCCGCGGGGGAGAGCCGAGTCCCCCCCGGCGCTCTGGCCGCCCTCCCCCTGGCCGCCGGGGGGAGAGCGGCGAGCCCCGCGCGCTGGCCGCGGGGGGGGGGGGAGAGAGCCGAGCCCCAGCCGGGGCTCGCTGCCCTGCCCCCGGTGCTCTGGCCGCCGGGGGGGGGGAGCCGAGCCCCCGCCGGGGCTCGCCGCCCTCCTCCCAGGGCTCCGCCCGCCCTCCCCCCCGGTGCCCTCCCCCCGGCCGCCTGGGGGCGAGCGGAACCCCCGCCGGGGCTCGCTGCCCTCCCCCCGGAGGCTTTTTCGCCTGGGGCGGCGAAAAAGCCAGAGCCGGCCCTGCTAGGAATAGGTCCTGCCATTTACATGGAGGTATTGCTGCAGGGGAGACATATGCCATCCATTAGCACTGGCAGTCCAGGGGACCAGATCAGCTTCTCTATTACTGGAAGCACAAAGCAGTAATATAGTACAATCAACACAAAAAATACAATAAATTAAATACCTCAGATGAGAACAAAGAATGGAACAGAAGCCAATAAAAAAGGGAACACAAAGCCTCACATAATATTTTACTTCTGCAAAATATAATATTTTCACCACGAAGTACAATACGAAGAGGAACACCCTTTCCTTGAGAAAGTGTGATGAAATATTTAATGATTACAAACAGTCAGGAACTTGGTTTTATGTCTCATACAAAAAATGCCACCTCTGCCTCTGCCCCTGCCTTACCCAATCAAACACACAACAGTATAATGGTTCAGTTTTAAGAAAGAAAGAGGGGCATCCCCTACTGAATTACCAGCATCACTTGCAACATCCTAGATTTTCCTTGGAGGTCTCTCATCCAAGTACTAATCAGACCTGACTCTACTTAGTGCTGACAAGGTCACAGCCCAAGACTATATGGCTGTTGGCCTTAAGAGAAGTCTGTTGGGAGAACTTCTTTCATTTCTCCTTTTGTGACACACAGACAATATCCAACATTATTTCTCTTTTCCCCTGAGTACCAGGGCTTGATGAGAGAAATAAATATGGTAACTGCTCCAAATTCAAAATTAATTGTGAGAAATCAGAAATATGTCAAATTTCCAAACTCAGAGAGATAGGACGGGCTTCTACCCAAATTGGCAGGCACTTTGTTTGTATCCTTGGGACTGTATGATCTACACTGTTAACAGTTATTGTCAAAAATGCTCTCTGATGATATAAAGTAAGCAAAAGAAAACAGTCAGACTGCCCAAAGATTTCTCTTTGTTATGAAGACAGAAAATCTTCTTTCCTGCATTAAATTATGTGACAGTTAAATTTCTCTAGCAAGCTGGAGTTGGGTGGAAGGTCAAGGAGAACAAATTATCTGCATCACCATATTAGCCTCATTCTGTAGGACTTCTCCATAGTGCTGCACTAACATCCTTACCCCAGGTCAAAAGATACTGTGAAGCTCTTGAAAAGCCCTATTTGCCTCCTTGTCTTCATTATTTGTGGACCAATGTTGTACCTCCAACTGTTGGTCTCCATCCCATTTGAAACACAGTCTGCCTTCTCTGCCACCTGTGGCAAGGCAGTTAGGAGAAGGAAAGTTGAATATATTGGATTTAATTGAGGAGAATTTATTCAATAACCAATCAGATTCCTGCAGCTAAGCTCCTTAATAAAGCTCACCTTATAAAGGAAAAAGTAAGAAAACCCCCATAAAAGTGTAACATCACTGTGTCCAATACTGCTGAAAATATCCCTGGACTGGAAATCAGTAAATGTCTCTTATAGCTGTTAGGTATAAGCTTAGAGAAGTTAAAGACCATCCTGCTTCTAGAGATGGCCATATTACATAACAAAGCAAGAGGGAACACTTTAAAAGCCTTATGCTAATTAACAAGGGCTCTAAGAATCATATTAAAAAGGGAGGATGCACAAGGGGAATACTTGGAAGAGGCCTCCCAGGGTAGAGGTATATTGTTCTTCTCATGTCCTTCCAACACAATCATAGCTTTTTTTTCCCCAGTGCTGGACACACATGCCCCATCTGTAGCACTGGCAAGATATTCCATGGTGCATAGTTCCTCCAGGATCTGGCAGACCAACAGATGTTCCATGGTTTGTGTTTCACTGCAGCCACGTGTGTCTGAACTGTTGGAATAGCCTCACTTCCGCATATTGACTATTGACCCACCAGCTCTTGTTTGGAAGTAATTTAAACATCTCCAGGTTGACTAATCCTTCTCTGCACCCATGGGAAGGCATTCAGCAACGTCAATGTGCATTTTGACATCCTTGTGAAGTATTTCAAGCTGTCTGTGCCACGTTTCCAGTCATGCAGCCATCATGGATTTTTTTTAAGCGGTTCTGTTAAGCTTTTCCATGGTTTCAGATGGTTAACTGCTGTGGTGTGGCCATGGAGCATATGTCTGGTATCCTGAGGTATACTGGGAAAGTTTATCAGAGGTAGGGGAAGTAGTGTGGAGGGAGTCTTCTGCAGCTAGTGTTCTCTCTGGTCCATTTTGTATATAACACAAGAGACCTGGATGCAATCACTACCTTAGTTTCTTATTCTCTGGGAAGATCCTTCAGGACTTGTACACAATACCACTTATGTCAGTATAACTTATGTCACTCAGGGGTGTGAATGAGTCACCTCCCTGAACGATGTAAGTTACACCAGCCGAAGCGCCGGTGTCAGTGGGAGAGCTCTCTCCTGTTGGCATAGAGCACTTCTAGTGTAGACTAGCCCTTAGCTAGTGTTCTGCATCACCATGGGAGAGCCTTGCATTCAGTTCCTGGTCTGCTCTCCTGTTCCACAAGCCAATGGGATGATTATTAGTGTTCTGGTACCACCCAAACACCCTAATCAAGATTAGTGCCCTGTTGTGCTAGGCACTGTATAAAATAATATAAGATATGGGTCCCCTGCCCCAAAAAGTTTATAATCCAATTTAAGATAAGGTGCAACAAGTAAGTGTAACAAATAGGGGTGGGGAGGCAGTAATAAGAATGCAGTTTAGCTAGAAACATCAACCGGGTATCCTGCATGTGCTTATGGACTCATGACCCATTCAACCGAATGGCTGGATTTTTAAGTCGTGTTTGCTCATTCCTTCAGTTTTAAGAGGACATTGCTCCCAATGAATTTTCATGCTGCTAAAACAGCCATAAGAAAGCCAGTTAAGTCTGTGGGAAAGCCTATAAGTGAACTTATTGCTCCCCAAGAGAAGATGTAGTACCCCTTAGCCATCAATCCTTAAGAAAACTACTCCAGGAGAGGCATCACAAATACTGAAAATGAATGGTGTTGATCAGCCTAGTATCTAAGGTAGTAAGGGCCTCAGAATTGTTTATCATAAAGTCCCCATGATCCATGTTATATCTCCTATATCACCAGTAAGAATATGATTTGGTCATGGAGGTCACGGATTCCGTGAGTTTAACAGATGGCTGCAACTTCTTCGGCTCCAGCTTCAGCCCTCCTGAAGCAGGGCTTGGACTCTGGCCCCCACATGACCACATCCTGATTTTGTACATTTTTACCATGACTGTTCCACGGATTTTTCCTAATAAAACATGACAAAGTCCATAAGAAAGCAACAAAAATGACAAAGGTCTAGAAAACAAACTATAAGGAAAGATTGAAAAAATTGGGTTTGTTTAGTCTTGAGAGTAAGGGGGGACATAACGGTTTTCAAGTACATAAAAAGTCATTACAAAGAGAAGGGTGACAAATTAAGTAATGGGCATAAATTGCAGCAAGGGAGGTTTAGGGTGGACATTAGGAAAAACTTCTTAACTGCCAGTGTAGCTAAGCATTGGAATAAATTGCCTAGGGAGGTTGTGGCATCTCCATCATTGCAGGTTTTTAAGAACAGTTAGACACACACCTGTCAGGGATTGTCTAGGTTTACTTAGTCCTGCCCTGAGGATAGGAGACTGGACTAGATGACCTACTGAGGTCCCTGCCAGTCCTACATTTCTATGTCTCTATGCCTTGGGGCTGATGAAGAAATGCAGAGATAGGTATAAGAAGGCTCTATTTATTATTAGATTATCATGGTTACCTAGGGAGCCCCAATCAAGCATCAGGACTCAACTGGGCTAAGAGGGGGTCCGAGAGGGGCAGTCTAAAGAGGAGGTCCAAGCCCCAGAGAACTTTACCATTGATCTAACTGCAGCCTGGCCCCCCTCTGGCAGCCGAGGGCTCCACCTCCGAGGTATAAAAACAGGCCGGGCAGGCTGAGCCCCAGGCGGTCCCTGGGCACAAGCAGCCTGGGCGGGTGTAAGGCGTTGGAGACCCAGCTCCTCCCTCCAGCTGCCCCGCGGCCAGGGGGCGGGGCCTCTGCTGGCCCCGGCGAGGGCTGCCAGGGCTGATGGTGCTGCGGCCCCCGCGGCCGGGATGCGCCCCTGGCTCCAAGCTTCCCAAACGAGAGCAGCGGCTCTGAGCCCGTCCCTCCCGTGGAGCCTGGGGACAGTCCCCGCGCCTGGGCCTCGCTCCAAGATGGCGGCGTCGCAGGCTGCTGCCCTGCCTCTTCCCGCCTGCGGGCCGGAGCGCTCCGGAAGCGGAAGTAGCGCGGGGTGGTGGGGGGGGTCAGGGCCGATTCCCAAGATGGCGGCCCCCGGCTTGCTGCGCGGTGGCTGGAGCCGGCTGGTCTCTGGTCTCCTGGGGCTGGGGGGCGGCTGGGCCCGGCCTCCGGCCCGCGCGCTCCGACAGGGTGAGTCTTGGGGGCGGGCGCCGCGCCCCTGTCGGAAGACGCGAGCCGGGGGGAGCCAGCGCTCCGCTGCCGGCCCTGGTCAGAGCTAGGGGGGCGGGTCTCGCGGCGGGGGGCGGGTGGGGAAGGGCCGCAGGCTCCTGCTGTCAGGGTAAAATCTACCCCTGCTGCTGGCACCGCGGCTGGGCCCAGAACCAGGAGGCGCCCATCAGCCACTTCGGCTGGCCGGCCCGGGGCTGTGATTGGCACTTGTGGGGTGCTGCTCCCCTCCGAGCTGCGTGGCAAAGGTCGGCTTGTGAGCGAGCAGCGAGGGGTGGGGCTAGCGATAGGGATTCAAGAGACCTGATCTCAGGTGCTTGTTTAGACATACGCTTCCTATGTGGCTTTGGACAAGTCATATTATCTGCCTTGGTTCCCCAGATGTGTAATAGGGATAATGCTTCCCTTCCTCAAAAGGGTGGGGTGCAGATACACTCCATTGATGATTGTCCACCACTGAGTTACTGCAGTGATAAGGGACATATAAGTAATCTAAAACAAATAGAAATAATCGTTTTGTCATTAAAGTTGCAATAATTAAGGTTCAGGTTTAATTTCCCATCGCTATGAATGGGAGAATCTATGAAACTTCCAGAATCCCAGTTCTGCTCTTTTAGTGTCACAGATTCAAAGCAAGGTGTTTGTTCTCTGCCTGAAGATTGTCACAACCAGAAGGGCAAGGAAGTTTCTTTCCTCTCTACACAGGCTTTAACCAGGGAGGAACTAAAAACACTGGAGGCAGCCTAAATGCTTGACATTTAAGATTGCTTTTACTTAAGAGGGTCTCTTGACTTCCTTGATCAGAATTAGCCAGAGATGATAGAGAAATCATAAAACTTTTGAACACACCACAGATATACTCAAAACAATAACAATTAGGCGATGAGAGGTCCACAGTTTGAAAGGCCTGCCCTTTGCTCTGCCTCTTGGTCTCCTATGTTACTCTGCCTGCAACTGCCCACCAGTAAAGCATTACCTTTGGCAGTCTTCGTACCTCGTGTTTGCTTTGTTGGGGAGTCACTCTCTTCTCTTGCATCCCTGACTTCTGTCCACCACGAGTTTTGTTTGTACATAATTTCAGTTTATTGATTAAGAGAAAGTCACTAGTTCCAGTTTGAATATGTCTGACCTTCTTTTCCATCTTTTATTTCTGCAGTTGTGGAAGTTACGGAAGGAAGTACAACTGTTGTAAGTTATTTCTCTTTTCCAAGTAACAATACACACTACTTCTAAAGCCACGTTTTTGTTTGTTTGGGTTTTTTTGTTTTTTGGTATGGGGAGAAATACATTTTCTTTAGAAACTTCAGGGATGAAGTTGTTGGGAGGTTTTTTTTGGTCACATTGGCTTATTTTGTCTGGAGGTGGGGCATACAGTACATGTTTTCTTTCTGCTTACTGCAGTTCACTCTTAGTAAATGTTCTGTGGCTTGAATGCAATGCAAATGTAACTGTGTGTTTATGAATTCAGGCAACCCAGGTGCATAGTTGGGTTGTTAAACTTCTGGGTCTTCCTCTCTCGCATGGATGAAAGCAGCATGAGATCCTAAGCTCTGATGGTCAGAATCAAATGTAGCTGCAAAAGTTCCCATGTTATGATCCTGCAATGCGACTGCTAACATTGAAAGTCCTGGCTGCGGGGAGGGGGGGGTGGTTGGTAGATGGAAGGGGGTTGGAATCCTTCATATTCAATGCTTTTGAAAATGAGGGACAGATGGTATGGACTAAAGCCTACATCACAACTCAGCACCTGTAGTCCCCTCAGCAAGGGAAGCACTCTTGGCTTCTGGTTCCCCAGCCTCTTCTCTTGAGTGGAGGCATTCATCTCTCTCCCTTCTGACTGGGGTATTTCCAAGATGAGCAGTTTAAACTCTGATATCCCCAACAGAAGACAGACTTTTTTTTTTTTGCATTCTCTTCAAAGAAGGTTAACTGTGTAATTACCACAGTTTAATATACTACACAGCTCTTTCTAAGCAAGCACATTTTATTCTTAAGGTAAAAGCAACACAGCAAAAACATTAAAAACCATGGAAGAACCTACATGCATATTAATAAGCTTATCAGAAATCATCCTAACTCCAAAATGGACTCTGGCAGGTGAGCAGTCCTTCAGACCCCACACAGGGGTTTTCCTTTGCTTTCAAGTTCATAACACCCTTTTCTCAGAATAAGAACACAGGCTTATGGGGTCTTAGCTGGCCAAAGTCCTTCCAGCACTTCCCTAAGCATTGGGACCCTCAGTGGACTTGAGATCCTGTCCATTTTCTAGATCAGGAAGAAGGCAAACACCAAAAAGGAGAGTGATTTGTTATATTACCAGCAGGTAGAAGTAGGAGTGACTGGATGAAATCAAAAGTGGCCTACAATCGTCCTTTCTTTGCTTGCTAGTGATGTGTAGACAAGATTTGGCAAGACAACACTTACCAAAAAGTGTATTCCCTAAAAAGTTTGGGTTTTTTTTCTGGTTATTTTTATATTAGATATCATTTATTTACTGAAATCTGAGCACCTTACTGGGTCGGAGTATTTATATTTATTTTAGATTTGTTTCATTATATAACATAAAAGGTCTCTCAGTGTCCTTGATATGAAATTGATTGTATTTTTAACATATTTGTACCAACAAGAGTAAAACCAATCAGCAGCCATGGGAATTGGGGGATGGATGACAGTCTCTCTCTTTCCTACCCTGAAGTCCATGTGCACCAGCACGCCTTTCTGCAAAAATCTGGAGAAAAAGATGAACTAGCACTATGCCCAGAAGGTCAAAAGATTGATGCTATTTCAGCCCAAATGGAGAAATAAATTCTAACTTTGGAAGCCCCTCAGGGAGAACGCCCTACTAAAAGCGTCTCCATTCAAAAACAAGGGACTTTCATGTAAGTGGATTACTGAAATTTGCACAGTCTTCAACTTCCAAGCTCCATCCAGAGCACTTCTCAATAAACTAGACTTGAGGTAACAAAAGCATAAATCGCAGTAGCAAGATCCTTATTTGAAAGAAATGGTCACAAACTCCTGGCCAGATGTAGATGGTGGGGGGAAAAGAGATGCTGATAATTTCTGCTACATAATCTCTTAACAGCAACTGGAGATCCATCAATATCCACAGAGAGGAAACTCTCAACAAATGGTGGGCACACAGCATCAATTAAGGGGCAGACATAGTCCTCCTCGTATCTTCTGATTGCTCCACCCATCCTACCAACATCACTTCAGTCTCTTCTGGATTCCGCCTCAGACAGTTAGCCTTTATTGTATTCTGATCTTTATCAAACATTGAGAAAGGTATTTACCGTGTATGGATGAGTGTGTGCTGGGTCTCATCAGCCCGCAAAAACATAAACTCATATGCCTCCTCATTAGCCCTTCTACAGGCCCAGTACGCACAGTGAACACATGGTGTGACAACACAGAAACCTACATCAGAGTAATAGGTGAAGAGGAGCCAAAAAATACATTCTGAAATTTCTCCCAAGAGATGAGACTGAAGCCACTGAAGGACATGTGGCTCTTTTTCTAGAGTTCACAGACAAGTCAACAACTCCCCGTGGTCAGCAATATCAAAGGCAGCTGATAGATGTAATAAATCGACATGGATGCTAGCTCTTGATCTATTACCAGGATGGAATCATTTATCAAAGGAGCCAGTGCAGTGTTTAATGTCACCAGGTCTACACCCAGACTGACAAAGAACAGAATACTAGATGCTGGCCTATGTTTGGCTAGATTGTTAATATCAAGCTGTACAACAGCTTCCTTAATAAAAGTTGTATGTTCTGAGAGATTCTGCCCACAGTGGTTTAACAGTACTTCACCGAGCAAGAAGGGCATGGGTCCAAAACACAAGCTGTGGCATGAAATATTCCCAACAGCTAGTACCTCACTGGGTGACATCGGCCCAAACTCAAACAGAGAACACTAAGGATTTGTCCCCATCACTACTACCTTGCACTCACAGAAGCAGACAGCTCAGTCTGAATTCTCTAGATTTTTACCTACAAAGTAATATGAAACGTCTGCAAAATAGGAGGGATTCGAATTAATTGAGCTCTCCACTACTCAACACAAATCCACTGATCAAGACTTACCAGGCCCTAATGACTCTTTGGACTTGTGCCAGCTCCTATGTACATCTGAAATGCTTGTTCTGTATGTACCTGACTATAAACAGCTTAGTACAGGGACTCTCTTATGTTTATACAGTGCTGAGTAAGCTGTTGGAACTTGAGCGATAAGCCTACATACCCCAAATGTATATGTAGGCCTGAACTATGGGCTCTTCATCTGATCAATGTATCCTATGACTTGTTTCCCAGATTGAGGGCAAAATTATAGAAGATGTCAAAACCCCAACTCCTCCTAACCCTTCTGGTCAGTGTCCCATTTGTCGCTGGAACCTGAAGCACAAATACAATTATGAGGTAAGTGGGGTGACACTTAGCTAGTTGAATGTTATTCTCAAAGCTGTACTCATGCTGCTACTAAACTGCACAGCCTGCCATTCTTTTAGCTTCCTGGGCAGAATAAAGATTCACAGCTCCATCTCCCCCTCCTTAAGGTTTAATGAAAACCCCCTTGTGTAAGAGCAGTTCCTACAAAGCCAAAACTGGCCTAGATGTACAGCATCTAAGCACAGCTGGCTAGTCTTGTGCCAACTACTGTCCTATTACCAATGTGTCCTCTAAATTTTCCTTGTACTGAGCAGTTTACAAACTCCCCAGAGCCTCACGTGGTGGAGCCTGCATACATGGGGGAACAGAGTGGAGGCAGATACTGGGAGCAGCTGGACCCTGTGCATTGGGTCGCAATGCCATTCGAATTTGGCAGGCTGCTCCTCCATCATGTCAGCAGGGAAGGGGCTCAACCATTACACCACCCAGCTCTGGTAACTGTTTCCCCATTGGCAGAGGTGTGACCTGACCTGTGGGCCGGGAGGGAGAGGCGGGCGCAAGGCTGGCCACAGTCAGAAAAGCTCCAAGTTCCCACAGCCAATGTGAAGCCAGTAAGCAGAGACAGGTGGCATGGGGCATTGCCCTCCGTGAGTGACAGAGCGGTGTTGTGCCAATTCGTGGCGTGTCCTGGCGCATGGGCTCCAGAGCCCAGTCACAGGCTGCATTCCATTCCCACTGACACAGGCTCTAGCTCCGTGGCACACCACTCAGCTCTGGTTACTTCTTCCCCATTGGTGGAGGTGTGCCTTGCCTGGGTGCCTTGCCCAGAACCTTATTGGCTCTCAGCTCTCAAACAGTCAGCCAATGGGAGGCAGTAACTGGAGCTGGATGGTGGGGAGGCAGAGTCAAAGTTGTAAGTAGCATGGTTTGTGATGTGTGATACTTGGAAGATTGCTGTGTGACCGTGCATGTGCACAGTTTAGGGAACATTGCCTACCATACAGCCCTCCTTTGGCTCCTTCATATCTGGTCTGGAGTAATTTGCGTGCAGCGGGAAGGAAGAGATAGACATGTTAGAACTTTGGAAACATGTGCATCCCTCGCCACCCATCATATGATCTGGAATGGATTTATCTTTCTAATGAGCCCCAGTATCCAACATTGAATCAGTCCTCCAGCTGGACTCTAGGTAGTAAACCCGCTGCTAGTCGGCTTGTTCAAGCCTATTCTTGACTCCAGGTAGCTCAGAAAGCTTGAGTCATTGTTCCCAAAGAGGAATTAGATGTAATGTCTCCAAACACTGCAAGCTTCTCATTGCTATCAGTTATCTTTATAACTGGATGGTGGAGAATGGGAAGGGGGCAGGGGAAGGTGTTTAGAAACATGACAAATGCTCAATAACTGTTTTACACAACGTTGTGCCTGGATATGGAAGTGTCCGCAAAAAGAGCCTTTCTGTGTTTGAAACTCCTTTCCTATCAGTAAAAGGAAATGGATTTCCAGCAAGTATTTTTTGGGGAAATCTAGTGTGAGAGGGTTAGAGAGGAATTTTTAAAATACATTGGGGGAAGGCAGTAGAGAATCCTATAATAAAGGCCCAAAAGTGCCTTTGAAAACCCATAATATGGGAAATAAGACTAGGAGAACCTAATATTACAAGGGGCTTTTCAAAAACTGCATTTAAAAAATAAAGCCAAATCTCTTCCCCCCCCCCCCCCCCCCCCACCAAACAAAACAATCTGTACTAGAAATAGAAAGGAAGGGAACCAGACAAGAATGCACAGTTACAAGATAAGGCAACCAAAAATGCAGAATAAGTTAATGCCAGTGGGATTAGGGGGATATAGATACAAATACATCTGGAGGAAAATAAATACTTGTGAGAAAGTAAGCCCACTAATGATGAGGGGGTTGAAAACCAGAATGATTCTAAAATGGCTGAGCTACTCTCATGTATCCATAACAAGGAAAAGAAGTTTGAATAATTGGATAGTGATGACAATCCTGTGAATAAGCTATTGCAAAAAAGCAGGTAAGGAAATTCTTAGAGACATTGACTTATACACACACCAGCAGGTCAAGATCACATACAACCCTCCAGGGTCTTGAGGGAATTAGCTAACAAACCAACTGCTCCATTAGCAGTTATTTTTGAGAAGGCATAAAAAACTGGGGAGGTACCAAAAGGATTTGAAAATAGTGAATGAGAGCAACATGTGAGAAAGGGAAGTATGGTCTTGGCAATTGCCCTTTGGGAAATCTAACTTCTATTCCTAGTTATATAACAAACAAAAGGGGAGAACCACACTGAGCACTCACCGGATAATGGAACTTAGGAACAACAAGTAGTGTTGAGGAGTTATGAAGAATCATGCTGAACAAAAACTTATTCCACACAGGTGACACAGTAAGTGGGAGATTTAAACTTCAATAAAATATTCGATAGTGTCTAGTGAAATATTGTAGAAATTAAATTGGCTAGGATGGGAGAATTATCAATGGATTTAACACACTATGAGCAGAGTGCAATAAGAAATGATTGCGGGAAGTGTCCAATGGTTGGTCTGGACTTTGTAATTATCTAGAAGAATCAGGAAATAGAATGATAAATTTGCAGATGATACTAAATTGGGAGGAGTTGCAAACACTGAGGATAGAAAAATACTATCCATCCTGGGGGATCAGATTTTTTCATAAGAACATAAGAGCGGCCATACTGGGTCAGACCAAAGGTCCATTTAGCCCAGTGTCCTGTCTTCCGACAGTGGCCAATGCCAGGTGCCCCAGAGGGAATTAATAGAACAGGTAATCATCAAGTCATCCATCCCCTGTCATCCATTCCCAGCTTCTGGTAAATAGAGGCTAGGGACATCATCCCTGCCCATCCTGGCTAATAGCCATTGATAGACGTATCCTCCATGAACTTGTCTAGTTCATAGTGCTGCCCACACTTTAATGCGAAAATTGTCTTGAAGGAACACTTCTCCAGTTCATTATTGCAGACTATGTAACTACAGCAATTGCTTACACAGAAAAGTAAGGTTAGGAAAGAATGTAATGTGGTTTTAATTTTTTTATGTGACGCTGAGCAACTGGAAACAAGGAGCCAGCACCAACTAGCTTTCATCAGATCACCAGCAAGTGTTTCATGGATCAAAGTTTAAGAGCCTAGAGAAATTAATAATCAATAGACTTCTAATGTGCTCAGCACTGTAGTCTGTGGGTATTGCAAAGAGAGCCAGGAAATAACAAAGATTCAGCCTATCAAATGCAGCAAATAAAATGGGGTTTTAGCGTTTAAGACCAGAAGAGACCACAAGGATTATCTAGTTTCATCTCCTGTATAGCACAGGCCACCAATACCCCCAGCACCCGCACTCTAACCCAAGTCTGGGTAGGTAGTAATCCAAAACACTTTGATCACCAAGGGAGGGGGACAAACATATGTATTGTCAGCAAAGGGTAGAACAAGGAGCAGTGAGACCTCATTACGCAGAGGGAAATTCAAGATGAATATTAGGAATCACTTTCTAGTGCTCTGTGTGGTAGGAGGTTCTGCCACTTGTGGGGATAAAAAGGGCTACTTGGAAGCACAGAGGTAGTTGTAGATAAGTCTGTTGTGCTGTTTTTGACTTTAGAGCCCGAGAGTAGAGTTCTAATATCAGAGTTCGCTGTAGGTCCCATCACTGGATGAAAGGTATGATCCTCTTTTAAGATTAGGGCTGTAATTCAGCTAGGCTGGTCAATGTGCTTGCAGTTGGGCTAGGCAGTTTGCCCCATACTAGCATTCAGTTTGGTCCTTAGATACTGATCTTCTGGAGGGAGGTGAAAACTGAACACCAGGGGAGCTCACCTTGTTTTAAGAAGTATGGCTGGAATCTTGGGAGCCATTGTGTGAAAGTTTGCATTCTTGGTCTCAGGAAGCAGGCTGGGAATGTAGGCCATCACGTCAGTTGTTTTGGCCTTTGAATGAATGTGAGTCTTGGGTTATATAACCAGTTCTCTTGCTGCAAATCAAGAGAGGCTGGAGAAAGAGATAAGGGGGATGGTGTGGATTGGTAAATCAGAGCAGTAGCTGATCATGACAAATCCACAGCTGGAGGCGTGCCTTGCTCCAGTGGGACTGATTGGAGTTGTGAAGAGTAACTTGAGTTCTATTGTAAATAGTCTCTGTTTCAGTATGTCTCTTATATGTCTAGACTTTGTATCAGTCATGGTTTTTCAAATTTTGAAGTGTTTGGATGGAATAAATGCTTTTGCCCGCAGAAAAATCTCAGTTATGCTTCCGAGCCACAGCAGTAGTGAGTGCTTGAGAAATAAAGAATTTGAAATTTTTAACAGTAAGGGTAGTTAACCATTGGAATGATTTACCAAGGGTTCTGGTGGATTTTCCATCACTGGGAATTTTGAAATCAATACTGGATTTTTTTTTTTTAAAAGAGATATTCTAGTTCAAACAGGAATTATTTCAGGGAAGTCTTGTGGCCTCTGTTACTTGAAGTCTTTCTCTGTAACTTGAAGTCTTTAAATCAGTGGTCTCCAAACTTTTTTGATCACACACCCCTATGAGTAAAAAATTTTTGAGCACGCACCCCCTGCCGCGTCGGCTCTACCATTTTTGCCGCTCGGACGAAGAAAAAAAAAAGCGCTTCTCCTGCCGCACACCCCCAAGGATCCTCTTGCGCACCCCCTGGGGTGCGCGCACCCCACTTTGAAGACCACTGCTTTAAATCATGATTTGAGGATGTCAGTAACTCAGCCAGAGGTTAGGGGTCTATTATAGGAGTGGGTGGGTGAGGTTCTGTGGCCTGCAGTGTGCAGGAGGTCAGACTAGATGATCATGAGGGTCCCTTCTGGCCTTACAGTTTAGGAATCTATGAGATACCACTCAGCTGTAAAGCAAAGGAAAGCATGTGAGCCCCATTGCTGGGGGCACACACAATTGGACTGGATAAAGCACTATAATACAGGGAAGTCTTGCATTAGCCCCTGGGGGTGGGGGGTGGAAGAGATGACCTCAGGACTACTACTTCTCTAACATCTCTGAGAGTGGAGCCTGAGGCAGTGGTAAAATAAGTGATTTTAGTTTTGGTGTCAGATAAACAGATTCTTAATCAACCAAAAATGGCACTGCGGGCAGTGGCAGGTCAAGCTTCCATCAGGCCTCCTTACCAATGTTCCTCAACCCTGCCATGGAGGGGAACAGCCTCCATTGGTCATTCAGTTCTTGGATTCTACTGAGGTTCCCAGCAATTGGGCTAGTTAGTACCAATTATGATAGTGGTTTAGGTGATGGGTAGAGTCCTGCAAATTTGCGGATATCCGCAGACCAATTTTGCGGATCGGATGCAGATACAAATTTTGTGTTCGCGCAGGGCTCTAGAGATGCAGAGGCTTGTCCACTAGGAAATTGACTGACACCCTAGTTCATTTCACCTAGATCACCTAATAGCCATTAGTAACTGAAATTGGTTTTCATCTCTATCAACCTTAGGCTAGATTAGAACCTGCAACCTAGAAGTCTCAGCCCCCAAATATACCTGATATATAATGCCTGGAGAATGGTGTAAAGCTCCCAGGAGTAATGAAAGAAAGAAAATTGATTCTTATGTATCTCAAAGTAACAGCTGACAGATATGTCTGGTACAAACCCATACTTGTTTTGTTGTACAAACAGAATTGTTCTCAGAGTGAATGGAGATTTTGATGAAATGTGCATAACTAGCAATCAGTCTTAGTTCTCAAGGGGGTTGCAGATATTGGGTCTGTGCTGCATTTCAGCAGGCCACCCATTCAAGGGAATGCACTATTCAGACTTGGTTTTATATATTTTATCCAGTTTATCCACCCTTTGTAGGGAAGGGTAAACTTGTTTTTCCTTTTTCCCCTTCTCCGCTTTGAACACCATTAGTCTGAGCAGGCAGTAAATATGTCGTACTTTGGCAGCACACAGGGGAGACAGAACTGCAGCCTTTGCCTATTAGCCCCAGATTAATTCAGTCCAAATTGTTTTCATCAGATGCTACAGATTACAGGGGTGGGAATCTGGGTCCAACCTCTCCCGGGAGCTGTCCAGTGATTAAAGCAAATCTGTGGTTGCAGTCTTGGCTGCCCACTAGCACAGAAAGTTAATTTCATGGAATATGACGGCAACATGTAACCTTGCCAGACTTCTTTTCTTCTTTAACCCCTTTACGTTTTTGTTCACCTTTCCTCCCCATCCTCCCACAGTTGGCTGTCTCTATCTGCCCTCTCCTAGGGGTGGGATGCATCTTGGTAAGTATTCTGGGAGAGGCACCTAGCATGTTACCCTTAGGACCCTTCCGAAGTCGTCGTAAGATTCTCGCCAATGTGCAGCACTTCAAGCCAAATGACCTTGAGCATAATTTGTAAGGCAGAAATGGGTGGGACATAGATGATTTCAATAAAGAAATAACCGTCACGGGAGAGAAGCTGATTGGTGCTGACAGCATTGGGCCGGGTTAACATTGGGGCATGGGCTCTCCTGATTGGCAGGACAATAGATAAAGAGTATCCATCTCCCCCTCCCCTTTTTTCTCTCTTTGCATGGAAACATTTGATATCAACCCTGTGACACCACAGGGTGTGGTGGTAATGTGAGAAAGCCCTTGAACCAAACACACCCTAGGTGCAGGGGTGTCCCACGCTTAGAACATGCCACGGAAAGGGCTGTGGCCTACTTACTGTTTTCATTGCTGCAAATACTGGAACAGCCTAAAAGTTACCATTAACTCCCTCCTCTCTCCTGCTCCCCCTCCCCCCCCCCCCCACAAAGGAACAATAAAACAGGCTACTTAAAGCAGTTAGGAAAGTTTTCACACCCTGGGCATTTGGAGCTGAACCCTTCTTCTCCCTTAGAGAAGCGAGCTCTTTTAGTATTGGGTGGTGGAGCCAAGTCATTGGCAACATGGAGAACTGGATGGCTGAAAGAGCTGCGGAAAGGAATGTGGCGTCTCATCCTGGGTCAGTCGATCAAATCCAGCTCCCATCAGCAGTGGCCAAAAGTCATTGCCTTTGACAGATCTCAGTCCAATTTCCACCAATCCAGCTGACAGTAATTAGCCCTCTTGTTGTGGCCTCAGTGCCAAGGCCAGAGATTGGCTGGGGCATGGACACTGAGCTTTCCTTTTGTCCTTAGATGGTCTCTCTGGGTTAGCACCAAGGCTCACTGATAGGGATGTTGTCCGTGTTGTCTGGATAAATCATCACTCCACAGAGTTATTGGTCAGGTCCCTTATATCAGCATTAAGTTGCCTAAATATTTAACTTTAAAAGGGGCTGAAAAAGAGGGTTAGAATGGAGCCAGAGAACAGGAACTGTAGATGAGGAGGAGTCAGTGGCAGGCACCTTGGATACTCTGGCACAAGTGACCTTATGTAGTAGAGAAAGTGTGACTGAATAAAGCTCTAGACTCAGTTTCTGTTGATGTCAACAGGGCTTGTGAGAGGGTCTAGCATGAGCAATAGCTCCCAGAACCAGTGCTACAGTCCGTTTAGTTCAGAATCAAGTCTATCCAATACCGTAATGATGGGGGCGGGATATAAACCTTGATAGCTAGATATCCTGGCTTTTGCATTGGCTCAGCCCATAGCAGAGGTCTAGTTTGCCTGCACCGGCAGGTATGGGGGTGTGTATTGTGCTCTTCCATCTGGCCCTGATTTCTCTCAGGCTGGGCATGGGGAATGCCTGCTGACAGGTCTCTCCCAGGCTGCGAGCCGCATGCGCATGCTCCTTCCACCCAAAATATGGAAATGTTTACAGCGGCAACAGAGCAATAAACTCCCAACTAACTTGGTGAGTCTGGCAGTGGGAAACTTCCAGCAGATTGGGAAAAACAAGCCCAGCATTTCCAGTGGACCCATGGGATAACATATGATATCAGCATGTGAAAGGGGTGTGTCTGCATTGGTCTGAGCGGTGTGCTGGCATTTGTTGTGCTGCGTGTGGAAATGGAAAACATATCTCTGAATGCTGGGCTGTGCCCTTTGCACAGCTAATGGACCCCAGTGCAGCAGCTGCCGCTGCTGTGTCTAAAGCTCCGTCATCCCTGTTATGTGGTGTTACCAGATCCTGGAGATACACCACTTAAATTGTGTTTTATAAATAATGCCTTGCACTTCTGAAGCTTTTAATCTGAAAGGTCAACAGCAGTGAAGTCTGCAAAGATCTCTGAACCCTGGCTGAACACACAACCTGCTCTCAGTGCTCTCTGGTAACAAGGCTTCCCTTCCTTGTCACTGCTCTAACAGTCCCTCCTAATCTGCAGGCAGCCAAAGGGTTGAAAGTTTGTTCTATTAGGGCTTCCCCAGTTACAGTACAAATGTATGAAGCACTTACTCCTGACAAGATTTACTAGATTTTGAACTAATCCCCCTTTGCTCCCCCCGAAAGGGACATGACAGAAGCTCCACCTTGGGAAATTGGATAAAGAATTGAGGAATAGACAGTAGAGGAAAATCCTGCGCTCAGTTTACAGGGGAAAACCCAGATGTGGCCTAACGTGTGAGCGCTGACATCTGTGTACACGGCCCCTGATGAGCTAAAAATCAGCTCTCCACTCAATCAAAAACATTGTGTAAAATGATATCTTCCTGCATGTTTTGTAAAACTGTATCTTTGTATATCTGGATGTTCGACAGATTATATTCGGTACATAGTCTGAAAATGGCAGCAAATGGTAAGATGGCAAAAATGGATGATGACACAATGATTTACATGAATTAATCTATAAAAGGCTCTGAACTTCAGAGGACCTAACAAAGCTAAGCCAATAGGCTACACAATGGCAGGTGAAATTCGTTGCTGACAAAATCCCAGGTAATATACACTGGAAGGAATAATTTTGAACTACTCATACATAGCACTGGGGCAGTGTCAGCACCTAAGAATTGTAGCCATTGGTGCAGCTCTGGCACTGATCATTCTACCTTCTTTCCTTGCTTCCCTAGGATGTCTTATTGCTGAGTCAGTTCATCCGTTCTGATGGAGGGATGCTGCCCCGTAGGATCACAGGTCTTTGTCTGGAGGAGCATAAGAAGGTTGCAGTGTGTGTACAAATGGCTCACCGAGCAGGTAACAAGTCCTGTCTGGGAACAAGCCCGAGACCCCTTTATTTAGTAATAACCACTTTGGGGAGGGAACATACCTTCCTCTCTCCCCACCACCACAGCCACCAGAGATACTAAGCTGCCAGTGGGCTCGTATTGTTTTGGGACTCCTTACTACCAAGTGCCCAAAGCCCTTTGGTAAATCCTGGCCATCATTCAATCAACCTCCTTACTACCCAGTGGCCCTAAAGAATTTTGAGCCTTCTTCCTTCCACCTAAACTATGAGTCATTAGTAGTCACAGCAGTATAAGAAAAATCCAAGTCAGTGAAAGGAACTCCTGATGACAAAGAACCCAAAACATTGGATCTGGTCAGGCAAAAAGCCTGTTGGCTTCACTGCAACTACATATGGCAAATTACCAGGCATAATTTGCCAAATACAATTTCCTGACTTGGAAGAGGGTGATCCATTTTTGCCTAAATTGCTTCAAGACACTAAGAAGGAGCTGAAGGAAATTAATCAGGAAGGCCAGACGATTGCCAGGAGAGCTCTGCAGGTGGCAGCCACACAGGCCTTGGACATAGCCACAAGGTTGATGGCTACATTTGTGATCAGGAGACTAACCTCATGGCTATTATCCTGGAGGGTACCAAGAGAGGTGTAGGATACCATTCAAGATCTCCCATTCGAGGAAATGGAGCTCTTCAGTTCGAGGACTAGGCGCTACCTCCCTAAAGGAATCAGATCACCCTAAGATCCCAGAGGATTTACACACCATTCACTGGTAGGAATTCCTACAAATATCAGCCCAACAAAGGCAATGGGCTCACCTTTACTCCCAGAGCAGACAACTGGACTTCCAACAATAGAAATGTTCACAGTACCAGTGGAGGTGCCCTTCATCTGCCTCCTCCATCACCTACTCCTCCTCATCAGTCCAATAGCAAATTTGATGGGAATGTCATGGACCACATCAGAATCGATCAGGTGCTGGCAACTACCTTCAGGACCTGGCTTCAGGACCCAGCTTGCCCCACTTGGTTGGTTTTGGTCTGATATCACCTTGGACAAATGGGTGTTGGGAACCATGTCCATGATTATCCCACTCACTTTCACATCCCTCTTCAGGGACCCATCTCACGGGAGCCTATTACAGAAAGAAGTGGCCTTGTTGCTTTACCTAGGAGCCATAGAAGAAGTTCCACAGGAGTACAGGGGTAGAGGCTTCTACTTGCAGTGCATCTTTATCCCAAAGAGGGAAGGGATGGCTGATCTTTGTCCTAGACCTGAAGAGACTGAACAAATACATATGCTGTCTCAGATTCAGGATGGTAACGCTTGCCTCCATCACTGGGCTGCTGTACCTTTCCCACTGAATATCAAGGCTCACTCCACCAGAGCTTACATGACTTGTTTTGCCTGCTTCAGACATGTGCCAATGTCAGAGATCTCATGTAGAATAACCCACTGACCTTTGTCAAGCGCTGTGCCTTGGACTTAGCTGCTAGGTCAGATGCCAAGTTCAGGAGAGCAGCACTCCAATCATTGCAGGTGGAATTCCATGGAGGCAGTGTTGCCTAGTGGATACAGTAACACAGTAGGATTCAGGAAGCCTGGGTTCTGTTCCCACTGGCATGCTGGGTGACCTTGGGCAAGTTGTGTCACCTTTCTGTGCTTCAGTTCCCCCTTCTGTAAACAGGGAAAAGCCCTTTTGTAAAGCACTGTGAAATCTACTGATGAAATGCTATACGTATATATATTTTATTCCGACCATCCATAGGAGATACTTCTTGCCTGCAGTGGGCTCCACATTGACACATTCTTGAAAAGAGAGTGGTTATTTACCCTACAGTAATAATGGTGGTTCTTTGAGATGATGCAACAATTTATGCATAGCAGCACGCCACAAGTGTTCAGGATAGGAAGTGAATGTAATGTTTGGCATATAGCCCCACTCATCTGAGGATTTCAAATTAATTTATGAGGATGGGGAAGTGACTTGCCCAAGGTCACACAGCATGGTGTCAGTCAGGAATGGATCCCAGGTCCCCTGAGTGTTTCCTTGCTCTAGCCATTATGCCTGCTCTCCCATGCTATATCCAAATCAAAATGCAGAGAGAATTCAAAGAGGCAGATTGTAATCCTTGAGCTGGAATTTGGCTAGATGTCGGTGCCCTCACTCTGATAAACAGCACCATGGGATATTTAGTGACCACAAGTGGTCAACTCTTCAGTTTTATGTTTCATCTCAAATACAGCACCTCCAGCAGCACTGCGCCCCTGCCTGCATTAGGGTATTGGTTCAATACTGACTCAGCGGGAAGAATGCCCCTTCCATTATAGCCCCTTGGGCTCTCTCTAGCGATCTCCTATCCAAATACTGACCAGTCTGCTTAGCTTATGAGTTGTAATGGGATCTCAGAGTGGTATAACTGTAGCTATTAGCAAGGGAACAATGCAAAATCTCACATCTTTCCTTTCCCATTTCAGGTTTGCTGCCAAACCACAGGCCGCTGTTTCCTGAAGGGCATGTTTCCAAGAAACCCAAGCTCAACAGGTGAATAGTTTTCTCTTGCCTTTAAGGGGACTGGAGGTGGGAGGGCATTTCTGCCTCCAAACAAGCCTAAGGCAGTGAAGTCAGCCTGGATTCAGGACCTATAATGAGTGAGGCTCCCTCACTATGCTCTGGCCTGCCAATACTTCAAGGCGCTCCACAACTAACCATACCTGATCCAAACCATCCACACAGAGTTAAGAAACTGCTGTACACATTAGATACGCTCTCCTTCCCTCAAACCCACTGGCTTCCCCATAATTGGCAATAGTCCAGGGAGGATACTGCAGTGAGGACTGCTGGTACAAATCCCTCAGCTAGATAGGATGCAGAGAAGCCCATAGTGGGCAATAGCAGTGGGTGGCGG